TGGCAGTGGTAGTAGTAGTCGTCGTCGTAGCAGTAGTAGTAGAAGCAGCAGCAGCAGTAGCACAGAGGAAGAGCTGGAGGAGTGGCCTAGCTAGCGGCTAGCGGGTTGAAGTGGTCGGAATAAGGTGACGCGTTCCCGATTTAATACAAGCCTGCTCCAGACTCCGGGAGTCTTCTTCAAGCTTGTGGAAAACAAAGTATAGGCACTTATCTGGAGATCCGAACCTACACACTTCGAGTTTGGACCCTCCACCTCTCCTGTACCAGAACTGTTGTGTTCGCGAGGAGATGGAGCAACTGCCTGGAGGAGCGACCGTCTGTCCAGTAGCATCTCAATCAAGATTCCAGTGAACTTCCAGCATTCCTGAACAAGTCAGCCAGCGTAGAGGTAGGTGCACTGCTGTTGAAAGCCGCTGCAACAACGCACCACGAAGTTATTCCACACCGCTTTTGCTTTTACTTTCCTGGTTCTTCAGCTGAACAACATCCTTCTGCAATTTGGCTCAAAGCGCAATCTGCAAAGAGGCATTCAGCCTTTGAGTGTGAGCAAACCCACAGCACCTCAGCAGCATCAAGCCGCTCAGGGCCACCCAAAATGATTTCCGCAAATCGGAGGCTGTGGCATCGCCTTTGGAGATTTGGAGGGACTGGTCAGGACTGTAATTCGCCGGCTTTGGGATCCTCCCTCCCTGCTCTCTCTCTCTCTGCTGCGACATCGGGGCGGGCTCTGACTTTCGTTATGGTAGGCCTCTTCCTCGAAATCCTTCGGCCAGGTGTCGAAGTAAGGTCCCCGTTTTTGATGACTTCGTTGTGCGGAACAGATATTTCCCAGCTCCGAGGCTCCGTGCTTGAATCGCTATGTTGGACTTGATCACGATCATCTCCGCGGCGGGATTGCAGCAGGAGCTGAAGCTTGAATGCGATTAAGATGGCCGCACGGCGCACTGCACAAGTCACAAGTACCTCGAACCGAAGCTGCAAACACTTCGGGTGCTAGGAATTGGGAGATGTGGCTGCACCAAGGAAGTCTGCGAACGGAGACAAGAGCCTGGTGATTCATGAGGACGTCTGAACTGAAGCTGTGCTGTCCTCGCGCTGTCTTTCACTAATTGCAACCGTTCATGTTGATGAACACGCTGCCTTGCTCAGGCATTTTGAAACACAAATGCTCCGAAGCACAGGAGTCCGAGGAGGGAAGCTTCGTGGAGAGCGCCGCCAGCCATGTGTCTGCTGCTCTGGAGTCCTTCGATGAGGCAGCGAGATCCGAAGCCTGTGCAGAACGGGCGCTGCATGATTCCTGCCATGCGGGCATAAGTCGTTACTTCAACCTAGCAGTCTGCCTTTGCAGATGCTCGCTCGGCCTGCATCACACTGTTTGTGCCACCGCTGCTTCCTGTTTAGGGGTCCCTGGAGGCCAAAAGCATCACACCTGCAAACACGGCCCGGCAACCTCAGAACATGACTGAATGCATCACAAGAAATCTTGAAGGCCCAACGCATGGACACCCAAACCTTTCGTTCCTTGTCCAGGCAGTGTCGCAGGGGATGAGCCCCTTGGTTCCAAGGTAAAGCTTTGGCGTTTGGGGCGGTGACAGCGAAGTTTAATCAGGCTGAGCTTTCCAAGGTGCCCTCTTCGGCAGTAGCTCCTCTTCCGACGAGGCCCCTGTGGCCCCCAAGAAGGTGGATGCTTGGCGAGAGAAAGAGACAGAGAGACAGAGCCACGGTTTGCGGTTTAGGGTTTAGCGCGTTAGTTAGCTGGGAACCGACATCTCCCGAATCTGCAGAGGTGCGATAGCTGCCCTGCCCATGAGGTTTAATAGCCGTTACAGTATCCATGTCGGCAGCAACTGTAGCTGCCGCAGCTGTTGCTGCTTCCACTACCATGCCACTGCGGCTACAGTTACTACCCGCAATACTGCTGATACTACTGCTACATATTCCCAACTGCTGCTAGGCCTACCTTTGCTACAGCCTGTACTCCTGAGTTGGTTCCATGTCACCGTGGTTGACTTTCACTTCGCACGCTGTTTGCTCCAAAAGGCAATTTTCCAGCAAAACTCAAGCCCGGCATGCAACACGACTAAAACTTAAACTTAAGATCACTCCAAAACAACGCTCAATTCGTGAAGCATGCATGGTTTCGGCAGGTATGTAATCACCACACTGTTCTGAGCACGCCTACAGCCGGAGCCAACACGTATCAACAGTTACCTCATGTTACCTCTCAAGGCTTGAGCAGTCTGGAGCTCAGTATGAAGCACTGGGTACAGCTAACAGGGATGTTTGCACCTGTGCAGGGCCGTTTTCAATTTGCTCTTGCTTTGCGTGCTCTCAATATCAAACAACATGCAGCCACGCAGATTGGCGGCCTTGGCATCTCTTGCTAAATCGAGCCCAGAGTCTGATGCCAAGATGCTCTGCTACGCTTTCGTGGTATAGTGTACATGTTGGTATCGATTGCGGAGCCCTTGGGGTCATAGCAATGCTGCGATAGCTTTGTTGTTGTGCATCTTCTCGAGTAGTAGCATCTTAGATCCCAGATTGTGAGAGTATACACATGCCCTCACTCATGAACATACTACCAAATTCTGTACTCAAATTTTTTGGTGCCCTGCAGAACGAAAGAATCAGCGCATCAAGGGAAAGCTTCTCGAAGTTTCTTGAGCGTTTTTTCGTCTTTTCTCAGTCGCATAATGAGATGTTGTGCTTGCTATGTTCTGCGACATATACACAACCTATGCGTACATGCATGCACAATCATGCACACATGTAGGTTCGTTGAGTCTGTTTGTCTGCCCGTCTGTCGAGGGACCGCACCACCCTGAGAAACCCTGGCTTGGGCGCAGCATGTCAAGCCTCACAACCGAGGACTGAACATCTGACACGGGCACCGCATTGGAAGCAGACCAGACGCATATAGTTTCAGGAGTCTTTAAGAAATGTGCAGGTGAGGGGTTTCTGAAGGATACCTTTAGAACTTTAGAGCACTGGAGTTGTGGCGGATGGCATATGCATCGTACCCCTTACACAGCCTGACAGACAAGACCATGGTATAGATTGATACAGCAGCTACATGTGTATATTGTATTCATGTGTACACATAGGTACACGATGCACGGCATGCCTGCCTTCATGAGCGTGTACATCTCGGTGCTAGGATTTGCAGCTTGGCATCTGTCGCGGGGCAGGGCCCTCTGTTGCAGTCTCTTGCTACCGAAGTCCAGGGAGGATGGTCTGGTCAGCGTCCCGCTTGTAATTACAGAAGATTGCTTGCAGGAGCGACTCAAGCAACAAAGCGCATTTCCTTCAGGTTGAGGTGCTGTGGACCAATCCAGGAGACCTGTGGATGATCATACTTCGTCAAAATTCTGACGCGTGCGAGCTCCCTGGAATCCACACGCCCCAAGACACTCGAGCTTGGACTGAGAGCGACTTGTTGCAGAGCGAAAAAAGTCACGTGATGGCTTTCTTGACATAGCATCAGGGGCTATCTTTCCAGTGCTTGTAGCAGGCTGGTGGACCCACTCAGACAAACGTGATGCTGTTGCTCCGACGCAGACTTACTACGGGAATGTCGGGTTTGGCAGAAACGAGATGGAACCTTCTGTGGGCGCTGGCCCTGTTTCGTTTTTGGCAGCATCACCAAGACATTTACAAGCATTCTACAGGAAAAACGCTTGCCCCAGAATTCAGGCATTTGCCCAGCTGTCTGCTCGATTTGGGCTCAGAGCGCAGTCTGCAAAGAGGCCTTCAGCTTTCCAAGTCTGCATATCCAAGCATCTCTGAGCAGCTTGGATGCATCTGAGTTTGCGAAGGATTGCCTGCTTTGAGCTTCGGGATGTTGCTGAAAGCCCCTGCACGGAGGGCAGTTTCCCGTCACAGACACTTGCAAGGCTCGGCTCATTTCGCCATGTTGGACTTGATCACGATCATCTCCGCGGCAGGATTGCAGCAGGAGGTGCTGCTCGGACATAGATACATGCATACAGGCGCTGCCCTTTTCTGGGTTTCAGTTTGACAGGAACGACGTTTGATGTCAGTGATCATGCCCCGCATTGCCCCGCCAAGCCCTCCCCGTTTCCCGATGGGCTAGATGATACATACCTCTTGCCGAAGTTGTCTCAAGATTTGCAGCAAGACTCTTGTGGACATCGTGCCTGTCTCGCCATCTATGTTGATTGCACATAACCACGCATGTGTATATACATATATATATATATGTATGTATATACAGTGTACTCGCATGTACGGATGCATAGATGCATGGATGGATGGATGGATGGGTGGATGTATGACGATTTGTATATGTATACATGCCGTATGTTTCCGGCCCTTCCATGCCAGTGAGTTTCTTGTCATCTCACTTAGAGGTGTAGGCCTCAGCATGGAAACTCATGCTTCTTTATGACATCTGCAGTCCGCCGTAGTCGTGCAGTCGCTACTCTTCTGTGCATGCAGGTATGGATGTATGCATGTATGTATGTAAATATGTAGGTAAGTAAGTAAGTAAGTAAGTAAGTAAGTAGGTAAGTAAGTAAGTAAGTATGTATGTATGTATGTATGTATGTACACATGCTAGTTATGTATGTAATTATGTCTGTACTTGTGTATGTATGTAATTATGTATGTACTTGTGTATGTATGTATGTATGTATGTATGTATGTATGTATGTGTGTATACGTATGCATGTATGTATGCATGTATGCATCGGTGTACATACATAGGTATGTGCATATGCAGGTCACCAGGCATGTAGGTATGTAGGTATGCACACATGTATGCATGTACTTACGTATGCATGGATGCATGTATGTATGTGCGTATGTATTTTTGTGTTTTACACATGCATGCATGGATGGATGGATGCAGAGATGGAGGGATGGATGGATGGAGAAACATATGTAGATGGGTGTGTATATATATATATACACACACATAGGTTTGTTTCGACAGGTGAGTGTTTGCATGTATACACACATGCTTTCACGAACCGACACAGGCATACAGTCACATAAATGCAGTGGTGCTTGCTTGTCGACTTGTCTTTCGCACATATGCATATACCTTTTCCTGTAGATGTACATGCACGCACACTCACATGCACACATACGCTTACATACACATATATACATATATTATATACACTATACCATACGATACTATACGATACTATACTACACTACACTACACTACACTATACTATACTATACTATACTATACTCTACATACACACGCAATGTACTATACATACCTACCTACCTACCTACCTATCTACCTACCTACCTACCTACCTATCTACCTACCTACCTACCTACATACATACATACATACATATTCACACATATACATGCACGTATGTTCATGAGAAACATGTAGATGTATCTATACATGTATACGTATGTACATACACATCTGTGTCTATGTCTATATTTGTCTATATCTCTACCTATATCTGTATCTATATTTGTATACGTGTATATACATATGTGTATATATATATACACACACACAAAGGTCCATTTGCATTTCTGCTTATACGTGTTTATTTAGCTGTGTACTTGTGTACATACATCGATAGTTATGTATGTACATCTACATGCCCTGCAGTTGATCATGTGGGCCGAGGAAAGCTGCCAATGGAGACAGGAGTTTGGTGATTAACGAGGACCAGCCATGCAGATACATTTGGCGAGCGCAGTGGCCTGTAGCAGACTCGAATATGGCCGGACTTGTGGTTGATGGTCACACCGCTTCCTAGCTAGCTGTGCTGGGGCCAAGCAGCCGCTAGAAACATGCTGTCACGCGCGGAAGTCTTGTTAAGCAGCCTGCAGAGACATAAGCAGATGGTGACTCTAGAATAGACGTCAACCGAGAAACAAGGCTCAAAGGCAAATCAATAAAGTTGTTTATGAGCTGAGAGGTCTTCGACACCCTTCGGGGTATGAGATTTTCACTTGACCTCTGCGGACTAGCACCGGCAATGATAAGGCAGCACTGCCGATTTACCGATTCAACGATACGACCAACATCAACAACAGCTTCAGTTACAAGTATAACAAGAGATGCACCGAAACAAGCACTGCAGCAAAACGCCAGACTAGTGCCAATAGAGATGCATAAGTTCTTGCACCTTTGCCAGGAGTCGGAGGAGGGAAGCTTCGTGGAGAGCGCTGCCAGCCAAGTGTCCGCTGCTCTGGAGTCCTTCGACGAGGTGGGTAAGCAGGGAGGATTGTTGAGGTGTCAGGTTTGGAGGGCTACATTTGGCTGGGCTGGGGCACTTCGTGCCGAAGCGCTGCTGTTCGTGAGCTGGTCGGATAGGGACCAGGCTTCGCCTGTGCGCCGGTTTCAGCAATGTGGTTTTTCGCCCAAAAAACGAGTCCTCCATCCAGTAGCAAGTGCCTGCTACTTGTAGACTTGTAGCGAAACTTCATGCAGTGTACATGATCTGGTAAAGCAATGCATACCTAATCAACAAGATGAGGGCTGATGGCCAGATCCACAAGTGAAACCCCGGACAACTCACATACAACATACACCGAAAATCTTCTGTCGCTGCAGGCTGTGTCGCAGGGCATGAGTGCCTTGACTGACCTACTCGGGCTCGGCAGTATTTTCCGAGAGTTGCCGGTTTGTGCGACCCTTAGAAGACTAAATAATGGACTTCCCCGAGTGCAGGCCAGAAGCAAAATTCATCAGTGCCCAATTGCAATCCACATCGAAGGTTAACTCCAGCGCACTTTGTTGTCGTCCCACCTTCGGAACAAACAAGCATTCGTGGACATGGCTTGAAAGAGAAGTACCACAACCCCTTTGTGTTGCAGCGAGCCCTGCTAATCGAAAATGAGCGGCTCAAGCAAAGTCTTGCCCAACCATCAACCTCAGACCATGGCACCTTGAACCTCAAAGCCATTATTCTCATGTCCGTGGGGTCTCACGGAGTTGGGCGATCCCTACAGAATGTGAGGTACTCGAAAAGCTTGGTGAACAAAGTAGCGACATACTGTAGCTACCAGCAAATCTAAGCCTCAGCCTTAAACCCCTCTCCCTCCCACCGATTGAAACCTACGTAGAATTGGACACTCTGAAGCTCTGAAGGTGCCCTCTTTGGTGGGAGCTCCTCCTCCGAGGAGGTCCCTGCCGCCCCGAAGAAGGTCGACCCTTGGGTTCGTTTCGCAAGGCTTTCCCTTTTCTCTGCCGGTGCAGAATGCTGTTGGATGGGCAGGCTTTCTGTTTCGAGCCCTTTTTGGGTGAGCGTTTGCATGTGCCTCCAAGTATATGAAGAATACAGCAGAAGGAGAACGTGTCGATTCCGTGATGCCGCTGGCTTTTGTTGTTCCCGCATAGCTGCCACAGCTCCTTCATTCATGGCGGCAGAAGCCTGACACTAGGTACTCTTTCCTGTCCGTCCGGCATCCGGGTCAATTCGACAGATTCTTAAACAAGGATTCGTAGTCAGGCTGTAATAATTGTACCTTGGTCCGTTCTGTCCGAAACATGACTGCTCAGGACTGAGCACCTGAGCGGGGCTTCGCGGGAAGCAGACTGGAGGGATGAGCCCAGCGACGCGCGGAGTGGGTTGGAGCATGGGGGAACTCAGCTTTACACTTTACACGATTGAGAAATTTATTTGCGTGGTTTCGGGGGGTTTCCGAGTTTTCTTGCGCATCCTTCGGGTGCAGGAATCCACCCGACTCCCAATATGGACATAAGTGAGCAATTAGTGAGGCTTTGGCTAAATGCTCACGCACGCCCAGGGACGTACCTGCATGCATACATACAGACATAGCTGGCATCATGTGACCGAATCAAGATTGATCAAGAAATTCGCTGCTCTGGAAATGGGGCTTAATCATACAGCAGCTGACTGGAGAAGTGGTCGGGATGAATTTACGGTGTTCTGCGCGCTCGAGCTGGTGACAGCAAGCTCCATTCACGGCTAAGAAGCTGAGGTTAATCAGAAGTGTGTTCAAGTAAAGGGTCCGACGCGGGCTGTCTGGTCGGCTATGCCCGCTTGTGTTTACAGATCATTGCTTGCAGGAGCGACTCAAGCAATCATGTACTTTCTCTCAGATTCAGGCGACGTGGATCGTGTCAAAAGGATCGAGTAGTCTTTCACGACAATAACTTGCGGCGTCTTCCTTTGTCTCGGAAGTTTGCTGCTTGGCCGCACATGTTTGCATGTGTGGCCCTCCAGCAAGCTTTCGCATCCACAAGCCTAGAACCTGTGCCTACTCGTCCTTGCACTGTGAGCCACTTTGTGAGCAGAAAAGTGCCGACGCTTTGTGGGAGGGGTCTGGTAGCCGCATTCCAAGCCCAGGCAGTCGGGTTGGCAGTAACCGGCTCATCGCCGCCAGCACACGGTGCAAACTTCAGATTCAGAATGTGATGCGCCGTCATCGTTTCCGGAAAAGCGATTGTTCAGTTGATAGCTGGGTCCGAAGCTTCAAGCTCACTCTTGCAACCGGCAACCGACGGGGCTGTACCGAAACTTAGTTTCTGAATTGCTGTGCTTCAGGCACGTGTTCAGGAGGAGACACTTTCTAACTGCCCTAACTCCCTAAATAAGACATCCTTCTGCCGCAGTTCTAGGTAGTCCCTGTACGAATCTATCCCAGCAACGGTCCAAAGGATTTTTCGTCGTGATATGTCGTGATCTTAATCTGTGCGACCCTCCCGAGCTTGCCCAGGAGCCCCGGCCCCTGACATCTCTGATCAGGCTCGGGTTTGGGTTTCTAGAACGCTAGCATCTCACTGCAGGCATCCGGACACGGGCATGTATGTATAGATAGACACATGCAAGTGGACTTAAGGTTCGGCATGGTTGGAATGGTGGCTGGTACGAAAGGGTTTGAACAGCAAGTCGGGATTCAGAGCTTCGGGCAGACGAGACAAGGGGGCGTGTTTGGAGACTGTGTGTTGCGATTGAATCTTCTTTTCAGGCCACATGACCGATTTGACTGTGCATCGAGGTTTACTCGTACGTTTGGCCGATTTGACGAAAGCTTGTGAGGCGACTGCTCCGTTGGATAAAACTGCCTCAGTAGATCTTGGTGGGCTTGTGCTGAAAAAGGTCTTCGCGATGCAATCCAGCATTCGGAGTTGCCTTCTCTCAGGGCTGCTAAAAGCTACAGATTCGAAGCTGTTTCCTCTCTGCCACGAGAGTGCATGCCACCGCAGAGTGCCTGAACACTTCATTCCCAGCTCCTACAGACCCGAATCCAGCAACCCCCAAAAGCCGAGCTAGAGCTCGTTCTAGGATTGTTCACGGGAGGCCTGCGGGCTTGCATTCCAGCAATTGCTTCGAATGGAGGGCGAGGCACATCGGATGCTTGCTGAGGCTTGCTGTTGGTTGAGAAGGGATGATGGAGCCAGCACGGCACAGACAGGTGCTCCTGATGCAGCCCTGCAATAAGCTCAGTGAAGGCTATGCTTTCTGTTCCAACATACGTATGCTGCCGACACGTCAACTAAACACACAGCACAGTGTCGCGTAAGATGACCCCCAGCTATAGTTTGGCGCTGACTTCGTCTTCCTCCAGCACGATATGAGTCTTAGCAACAGTGCAGTTGCTGAGGCAAGCGGTGCAATGCGATCGCGATACTACTAGCTGAGACAAGCATCGTCATGATTGTCACTACTACTCCTCCTCCGCCTCCTTCTCCTGCTGCTGCTGCTACTACTACTACTACTGCTGCTGCTACCAGTACTAGTACTACTAGTAGTAGACAGCAGCAAACACGAACACTCAAGCGTGGAAGCACAGTCCCCACAACCGCCCTTGCCGTGGGCCTGAAGCACTCAGTAGGCCTTTGAACCTCAAACACATTGCATTATATTATATTATATTATATTATATTATATTATATTCTATTCTATTATATTCTATTATATTCTATTATATTCTATTATATTCTATTATATTATATTATATTATATTATACTATATTATATTATATTATATTATATTATCTTATCTTATATTATATTATTTCATATTATAT